AATTTCAAAATTTCCAAAGCTTCCCCTAGATTCAGGCAAAACTGTGTCTTCTATGTACTCAAGAAACAGTCTAACCATATTTCCTATGGATAGAGAGGCCAAAATTAAAGAGGTTTAAAAGGATGTATGAATCATATGATCATAGTCATTAGTGTAGTCTATTTGAGGACAAATGTACTAAAACCATTTTAGTTCACATTTTTATTACACTACAGAGTCTATCAACTGACCAAAATTGAGATTGTAAATGGTTTCTTACATGCAACACTGGGTATGAAATAGTAATTTTAGAGCCTGAAAAATACCTGCTTCCCAGGGTTTACTCATTTATATCCCATTTAGATGTTAGCTTAGGATCATGAAGGGCAGTCAAGAATCCACAGGTCAAAAGATAAGTGATTAAGGAGTACAAGGAGCTGAAGACCAGCTAAATGCTGAGAAGTGAGGGGATAAGAGAGAAGAAGAAATCGCAGTTTAGAAATGGATTAACAATGAATGTCACTGCGAAGAAGAAACAGGCAGAGTTCAAAGCAGTCATGAAACTCAAAATGCTGGACAAAAAATGCAGTGTGCAATCAATGATACTGCTATGCTAATTTAATTTTTATTTTCTTGTCCCTTCATTTTGTTACCTTGACCCTTCCTGGCTTGGGGAAGAGAAGGTCGAGTGTGACTTGATAGGAATCTACAGCTTGCTCAGGGCAGGAACTGGAGGGGCAGGTACTGATCTCTCTGGTGACTAGTGACAGGACATGAGAAAAGGGAATGAAGCTGCATCAGGGGAGGTTCAGATTGGACATTAGGAAAAGGTCGACTGAGAGAGTGGTTGGTCACTAGAACAGGCTTCCCAGGGAAGTGGTCACAGCACTTGGTCATATGGATCAGTTTTAGGTAATCCTGTGAAGTGCAGGGAATTGCACTCAACAATCCTTATGGGTCATTTCCAACTCAAGATATTCTTTGATTCTATGATACATCGGATTCTATTTCCTACCTTTTTCTGAGAGTTTAGTTGTATTTCTCTTTACAAACAATCAAAAGTTCTTTCATTTGCAGATTACAGAGTAGTAACAGAAGTAGTTATCATCTGCATATCAGAATGATATGTTTAGAAATTCTATTCTGGTGTCAAATATAACCAAGCACATTAAAATAATTGCTAACTTCCTGAATTAAAATAATAGCATATATTAACTTGCACACTAAGTAAGAATACTAGTGTACACTAGTTGTATAGAGAACTAGCTGTATTCAAGGTATTTAATTTATTAATTACTATTTTCCTCAGTGAATTCCTACCTCTGTCTTGGGTTGTACAACCACCAGTACCCATCACTTAGTAAACTTCTACAAACTTTTACAAAAGCAGCGGTACCAAACTTATAAAAGCAGTTCACACAAGAAGACATGTAGGAAATCAGGTAAACAAACTAACTGCAAGCAATTGCAAAAGAACTGGAAGGTATTTGTCCTGACTCGAAAAATGTATTGGTTACTTGGGGTCTTCCAATTGTAAAAGAAAGACTTTGGTAAAGAAACAGAGAGTTTTTAAACATGTACCTAACCAGAGTAAATAAAAAATGAAGGAAGTTTCAACAAAAAACTTGGATTGCAAAGAATTGTGAAACTATAAACACTAGCATATTATTTAAAAGATAAGGGTGGATATTTTTAAATAGGATTAGTGCTCTTTAATTAGTGCTCTACTAGAATCTAAATACAATGATGTGGTCATTCAGATTTGGGCACTACTCAGAAGGACTTTAAAAATATGTACTCCACAATTTTGACTGTAAAAACTTTTTTTTGAGATGTAAAATCACAGATGCTAAAATACCGCATGTAAGTTTCTTTCTTTCTGTCCTTAAAAAAATAAGGCTACAGAAGGCCTAAGCTCATCATGATCCCAACTGAAACTTGATTCTAACTTTCCTAGCCTGATCTAGGATGTCAGCAAGATTAATTTCATTTTAGTTCTTTGCATCCATTTTTTTCTTCTTTGGCATAAATGAATGAATGATGAGAAAGCACCCACAACACTATTTCCAGAAATTGAGTTTACTATCACAGTCCAAACAAAAGAAATCAATACAACATATTCTAGTCTTAAAAAATACTGGTGATATTTATAAAAAAAAAAGCATTATCACACAGTAAAGAGTTATAACATATGTGAATAAAAAGCTTTTTTAAAGCAGCAGTCAGTGAAAAATATTTAACTTCAAGGCCACATTTCTGACACATGGTCTGTTGAATTTTACATAGTTCTCTTAATTTGTTTCACAAACACAATAATCACATTGTTGGGTGTTTTTCATACGCAGTCTGGATGAATAAATAGATTGATTAAAGACCCATTGTTACAATATGAAGTAAGGTTTAACAGGTTGAAAAGAAGGTAGACTGAAGGACAGACGCCTGCATTACAGTAACTTATAACTCTGTTATGACAAGATTCAGCCATGCCTGCCCATCAGCTGGAAAAAGGGCATCACGTCAGATTTTAGTGCTAACAAACCTCTTATAACTGAGCCCATTACTGACAAATATCTACTAATTTACTGTTTAAGTCATGGAGTAGTTACTTTTAGTATAATTTCAAAATAACTATACTTGAAATACATTGAGTATTACACTCACAATGTTTACTCAAGAATACTTTGAGTAGTCAAGTATATAAATACTCAAGTACACCTGCAGTACTGCCTCCAGCCCTGGAGTCCCCAGCACAGGAAGAACATGGAGTAAGCCCAGAGGAGGGTCACCTAGATGATCAGAGGGATTGAGCACCTCTCCTATTAGCAAAGGCTGAGACAACTGAGATTGTTCAACATGTAAAAGAGAAGGCTTTGGGGTGACCTAATTGTGGCCTTCCAGTACCTGAAGGAAGCCCACAAGACAGATATAGAGGAACTTTTTACAAGAGCATGTAGTGACAGGAAAAGGGGCAATGGCTTCAAGCTGACAGAGAGTCAGTTTAGAGTAGATATTGGGAAGAAATTCTTGATTGTGAGGGTAGTGAGGCACTGGCACAGGTTGCCCAGAGAAGCTGTGGATGCCCCATCCTTGGAAGTGTTCAAAGCAAGGCTGGAGGCGGCTTGGAGCAACCTGGTCTAGTGAAAGGTGTCCCTGTCTATGGCAGGGGGCTAGAACAGGTGATCTTGAGGGTCCCTTCCAACCTGAGCTGTTCTATGATCCTATGATTTTAATACATCGGTCAATATAATTCTGTAAGTAAAATCTATCTTAGCTAAGTGTAATGAAAATTATTGTTCTCCTCATCCTTCATACCTAAAATATATGGTGACTTACTTCTAGTATCTACTTATTCTCTGCTATATAGCAAATTCTGGTGTGAATTTGGAAAACTCATTCTCCTAGTTCTAATATTCTACTGGAAGGTAGTCCTGCATTCTCCTTGATTCTGCCCTTAGCAGCTTGAAAAAAAGTCCTTTCACCTGAATATTTCATGCCACTTTCAGCAAAAGTTAACATTATAATTGGTTTTGTGCATCAATGTCAAGTTGTAGCCATCTGTCAGAAACTCCATTTGTTAACAAACTTGAAATCAGAATTTACACTCAGGTTGAGAACTGTGTCTCCAAACAGAAGAAGGAGCTATTGGGAGCCCTACTCTTGCATCTGGGGCTCTTTGGAGGGTTTGGTGCTCCTCATTCCTCCCCCCAGATCCTGGTAAACTCCTTGAAACAGAGCGCTCTGGGCTTGATGCTTATTGCTGACACCCTGTGGCCAAGGAAATTACTAAGGACGATCTCTAAAATTTATATGCTATTACACATCAGAATAACAGGAAATGAAGGAATAATTTTTAATATGAGGGGAAAAAATGGTTATTCCCCTGGAGAATTAAATCATGTTTAATTAAAAGAAAGGAAGGAAGACTTAGCCAAGGAAACCTTGAATACCAAACAACAAACACAAGTTGTTAAACATTGAAATGACTTAAACCAAGTATTAGTAAACATGCATTGTAATTATCTCACAATCTTTCGTTGATCTGAAAAGTGGACTTCTGTATACAAATCCCTTTTCAGGGATCAACTTCCTTTCAGGAGGATTAAGTCACTAGTGATTTTAATTCTTGGCTATCCACTATTTCTTCCTGCTGTTTCTAAATGCTGCTGCTCAACGCTTCCCAAGTCTTCGTTCGCGAAACCTAGCCATGATGATAATGTGGCCTAAAAGACAAGCAGAGCTGAAAGTAACTGAGTTTGGTTGTATCTTCTGCAGCTTAGGAATCCAAAGTGTTTTCAGGACCTCTGAGTGCTGGAAGTCTAATGCCACCTCTCGGTTTGTTGTAAGCTCTTCTCACTTGCAGCCACTCTGGCTCAGTCCCGCTGAAGTGTTGTGTCTGTGTTCACATTAGAGCCAGTATGACCAACAAGCATTACACTCATACATCCAAATGGGAATCCAGTGCATTGATTTCTCCTTGTTTTTGCCCCAGACACTGGTAGTTGGGGGGCAGGATTGATATGTTGAAGCTATTTCCCCCTGGTTACCACCTGGTCCCATAACTTGACTTTTAACTCAGGCCAAGGGTTGCACAGATGTGGGTAGGCTCAGCAGTCTCCTCTGGAATCTACCATTAATAAACTTCCTGTTAGTTAGTTTTTTAGGCATTAATGAGAAAGTTATTCCTCACTCAGAATAAAAATAAACCTTTCTTATTGTCATATTTCATTTCTTATCTATGTATAACTACACTTGTTAGACATACATTCAATAGAATCTACTTCAGCAGAGGAAGACCAAGCCCAACCATCTAATTTGTATTACACAGTAAGATGGGACGCATCTTTCCCTAACTCAGAAAAGATATGTTACTTAAAACTGATCCTTAAATGAAGTTTTTACATTCTTTTATTCCTCCTTCATTAGAAAAAAAAAATAAAAGGAAAACTTCTGCTCTCACTTTTCTTGAGTGGAAGATCAGAAGAGTTTAGACTAGCAAATAATCCATGATTTGCCCTACCTGATGCAAAGTTTGTGGCGGTTGGTAGTGGACTCTGCATCTTGTAGCCATAAACTGAAGACGCTGCTTCTTCCTGTCTATTTTCTTGTCTGCTTCATTTACTTAGTTTCTAAGCTCTTGGTCTGTCACATTTATTTGTAAGCAAGCCAAATACTAATGGTTGGCAAAGAAGCAAGCAGAGCACATAGCTGTAACACAGCAAGACAGACTGCTGACATGTATCTACTACAAGCAGAAGTAAATCATATCCTCAGAGAGAATTTAAAATTTACAACTGCAGATAAATGGTTCCTTCAACCTTTTGGTCTGCCAACCACTAAATTCCTGCTGTCAGCCTCAAGAAATTACTATTGAATTCTAGATAATTTATGCATTTCACAGATCCAGATTTGTAACAGGTTATTCAAAGCAAATAAATTCAGAATTAGTTTCTCTTAGACAATGAAGTAAATCGAAACCTGTAGAAAATGTACTCAAAAGACTGTTTTTATTCCTTGAACACATCACCTCATACCCCTATCCTCAAAGAAATCCCTTTTACTTCAAAAAAATATTTCATAAATTATCCCCCTTCCAAAACAACTGCAAGTTTAATTTAACAGTTCTTAAGTTCATTCTCCTATTTTTTCCTCCTGATTACTAGCTCAGTTCTCCAAAGACAAACAACTTTTCTTTAATCATAGCAGAAGAAAGTTGCCCCCTTGTGCATGTGCACTGCAATACAGCCCTTAATTACATAATCAGAAAGTATTCTTCCCAAAAGACCCTGCTTCATTCAGCACACCAGATGGAGTACAATCAGCGAATGAACCAGGGATACATGATGATAAAAGATCTATGTGTTTTATTTCAAGACTAAAAGGAAAAAGAAAAGGAAACAAAACTCAACAATGCTCTACAGAAACTGATTCCAGCCCAAATTCTGCCACTGAGTTTCCAGGTGATGTTAAACACATGTTTTAACTCAAAATTTGTCCAGTTTGTCCTTCACTATGTAGTTCTCATTTGCTGGTCAATCAAAAGAAGATTCTGGCTCTGATCTGTAAAAGTTCTTACAACATGAAAATGAAAAAAATAACACATGCTCAGAACATGTGAAATGCTTCAACACCCTAGAAAATAATTTCTAGCTATTCTAACTGAGGAAAACTTAATGAAATCAGTAACATTTTAGTCTCTCACAGTCTCAGTACCCTAACTACAAAATGGGAATAAGAACTTCTGGTGTTTTATTCATTTGAAGGCCTAAGACACAATTAGCATGGGTGTCTTGGAAAAAAGCCAAGAGAAAAGTAGTTGCTCTTTATGTAGAAAAACAGTGGAATTCGGAATATGGCCTAAGTCATGCCAGTGTGTGAAGAAAACAGTACAATTAAAGTCTTTATTTTCTTCACCCAGCAGTAAGCAAGGAAAGTCCTGTGGGGGGAAAAATGAGATACAGTCAGCAATATTGATAATATCATTTTGTTTATAGACAAGAACTAAAATAAGGTTGCTCAGAAAATCTGAATGATACTTTCCAACATTTAAGCACTTGATTTTGTATTGTAACTTCAGCTATTTTAAGTGCTTTCTATGCAATGTGATGTGACAGAACCTAACAAGTGTCAGAGAACTTCTGTTTGAAATACTCCCTATATAAATATTCATGATCAGTTCTCAACTAAGCGATCAACTACAATATTGAAAAAGTTTAGATTTAAGATTAAAAAAAAAAAGTGTGTAACCCAGACCATTGTTACTCTGTGTACATGAAAAACAGTAAAAAAAAAAAAAAAGAAAACCAGACTTCTGATCAGGAATAAGACCAAAAAAACCCCCTTAAGCTAACACTAAAGATTACTTGAAACAGACATTACAGAATTCATGTACAGATTTCCATCTGTCTTAAACACAGACTCATATCAAACAAGAATCTTCGAGCAAATTAAATTCATTTATTTTTGAAGATATCACAGAATTTGATTGTCTAGCGAAACCTGATCAAATTTTTACTTCAATATAAAGCAAAGAATAATGTTTAACACATCATGTAGCTGAATTTTTGATATTGCATCCTGCCATTAAATGCGTAATTGCAAATTTTAAGTTGAATGAGTGTTCCTCTTTTTGGCACACTGAAGCATATAACCTTCCGAGTATCTGTTGAGGTACAAGTGCAATCAAAGTGCTTCACAAGTTCTTCACATGAAAGTCATTTCCAAGTACTTCATATGACTAATTTAAATATATCTACTTCAGAGTAAGACAGAACATTATGGTCTGTCAAGTTTCACTTAGTTCTACTAAGCAACACATAATTTATTGACATAAACAAGGTATGGTGTCTGTCTGCATACTTTACACAGGGAATGGCTTTGCAGTAGCCTGGTATAGTTACCTGATTTTTCCAAACAAACTGGAATTTCATTACTGCTATTTGAAATGCTTCAAGATAAGCAGAGACATAAGACATCAAGTTAAATCCAGTTGACCTCTGTGGGAATCAAGTATATGATTAAGTGCTTTGATAACTTTGCTTGTTTAATTTAAGTAAGCGTCAATATTAATGCATAGTAAGAGCATTGCAAGGCAGAGCTGTGAGTAGAGCAGTTATTCTGGAGTTAAATATGCACACAGCTTGTTAATAAACTGTATCTTCTCTTAGTACACTGTATTGAGAACTAGAAGAATCTATTTCAAATAGAGCTCAAGAGGGAATTAAATACATTGTAATGAGACATAGCCATCATTGCTTTTTCACATCAATACTATTGTGCTGGTTTAAGAGTTAACCAGCAGGGGAAATGAACTCAACTCAAAGGAGAGATTATAAGTCAGAATAACAATTTATTAAAATAATACAGTAAGTACAATCATACAAACAAACAGTTGGTCTTAACCCACAAAACCCAAATGTATAACCCAGCACCCTGGGGCATGAACAAAGTGGTGTTCCTTGGGCCCCGCTTGAGTCCAAAGTAAAGGGAGAGGGGAAAAACCTGCTGGTGGGAGAGCTGTTGCAGTCTGGTCAAAAGTGGTGATTGCAGTCCAGTTGAGGGTGGTGGTCTAAGTCTGGTTGAGAGCGATGAGCTGCAGTCTTCCTCTGGATCCCACGAGTGGTTAAAAATGTTCCAAGACTCCAAGATTATATATCCTCCAGTTCAGGCAGGAATGCTCAGTACTTCCCTCAGGGCGGGGAGTTCCACAAAGGGTGTGAGGACAAGAGCATCCTCCTATCTCACAGGCCTCTTAACACCTAGTTTATAGCATGAGGAGTCAGGCTCTATGGGCAGGGGGTGCGAATAGTCTACTGACAACAGTTTCTGGGAAATGGCATGGAAGGCTATAGAATACACAGTTTTGGGTTACACCCATACCATGATGAACTGGTCTCAGCTGTCCTAACTAGGACAACTATATTTGAAATGAAAATATTATCTGCCACTTGTCTGAGCTGACATCTATATATAGAAGGCGCTTGGTTATAAAGATGCATTCACCTTAAAAAAAAAATCTGTCACAAATACAAGACATGACTTATACAACTGTCCTGTTTGCACATGCCTGAGTGACTATGTCTAGGTCAGCCTGCCACTTTAGTTCAAAGGGTTTATTTAGGCTACACAGTTTCATCTATATGCATACAACATTCCCATATGGCAGGATTTCAATATATCTTCACTCATACCTACACTAATAAACCACAGAGGGATCACTAAATCAAGATTTAAGACATGAAGAAGGCATGATTTAAAGCAAAAATTACAAGATTTGCTCTAAGTTTGGCAAGACTGTTCTGGGCCTCTTCTCACTACCAACTCATCAGCTTCTCTCTCATCTATGATATGCTTTTTTAAGCTCTGCCTGACCTTTACCTTCAATGTCCACACAAACCTCACTGAGCCAGTATGGTGCACCAACCTATGATTGACAAGGTGGAGGTAGCTGAGGTAGAGCTTTTACCAAGTAGAACTTCAAAAGATACCTAGTAAAGCACAGAAGAGTCTGCAACAACTTAGTCAGGGAAGAAAAAAAAAGAGTAAGCTGCTGAGTAGTTTTGAGTTGGCAGTTTCTGAGTCTACACCCACCATAGTTAAAAAATTACAGGTATACAGGCTGATCCCTGGAACTTCTTTAGTCATAAATTTCTGGGTGCAGGTTACACTCCTGAGCCAGTTTTTAAGCTGGTGGTGTGTTCAACGCAGTGAACTCCATTTTCTGGGCTTTGGTTGCAATCCTGAAGCAGGTAACACTAATCTCCAAGGGATGAGCCGCACAGCAGTTCAGTACTGCAGAGTTGACGTAGATGCAATGAAGATCTCAAGCAGTTATCTCACGCAATAAGCTGGCACCTATTCCAAACATGGGGCATCAACTACAACACTGTCAGCAGGACTGCCTTACCCCTGTTGCTCCAGTGGCTAACATTACTCCAGTTCCAATCATCAAAGCTACTGGAAACAGTGGATCCTTAACTTCTGCCACATAACCATGAACTGGGTCTTCAGGCATCCCCTACACACCAGATTTGCCTTCTGCACTGGCAGGATGATCATGATCTGCTGCATACTTTATAATTCACAAGAGAAACAGTAAATCATCCAAGCTGGTATCTTGCAGGTTCCCTTTGTTTCTGGACAATGATCCTCCTTAGAAGAGCATCTCATAGGAAGGATATGTCTCATTGTCAGCACTTATTAAACAATGGAAAAGAGCAGATTTGTTGAAACAGGGAGGAAGGTAGACATCACCTCTGAATGATACCTATGCAAGGTTCATCTTTCCATTCATTTCATGGCTCCTCAAAGGCCTCTTAACATTTCACATCACTCCATCCCATTTCATTATCTTTCAAGTTATGTGGACCCAGCCTTTCTTTCTCAAGAAGCTAACAGAAGAACACGTAACATAAAAGACGGTATTTACATGTCACAGAGAGGAAATGACGACCTTTCCAAGACAGAAAACTCATATGTTGTAACATGCAACTACTTTGTTGCTTCATCAAGTGCCCAAAGTGTACATAAATTCACAATAAAAAGTGAAGAAATATGTTGACAGCACTTCATCCATGTTCCATTGACAGTTGTTCAGTGAAGGACAGTGCCTTCTTGCGTTAATAGGATCAGCTCACAGAGCTTGCCTGCTTTGTCAATCAGTCCTTCTTCACAGCACCTTCACTGCATGGCTGGAGGGGCCCAATTGGGAAGTCACTTGAGAAAAAACCCACTAAGAATCCTAAATCAAACATGTTTCTTGAGTGCCTGACTGGTAAGGAAGAGGAAGCCTGGCTGATTAGAGTTCAGTTTGGCAGCTGCTGCTGAAGAGAAGTCCATGCTGACTGACAACAGTTAAAGAAATAAGGGGGTTGGACTACCAGCCAGCTTAGCCAAGGAGTCAGTAGAAGAGTGTTAGGTAGTATATTCTGGAAAGAACATTTTACTATTTGGCAGCAATCTCAACAAGGTGGGCACTTGGCTTTGGTGGGTAAAATAAGTAGATGGATGCTCTGTCAGTGATGGCAGGATACCTTCTGTCACACAACTGTGCCAGATGTAACAGTGACATTATTCAGAAATACCCTTAGGATAAAAGCTTGTGACCTCTTTTGGTTTTGCTGTTGTTGGTAACAAAATACCACTTCTCCGATTTAGGCAATACAGGCTGAACGTTAACTCTCCTATATTTCTGCATTAGGAGAGAGAAACTATCATCTTCTTCCCACAACCACCAACACTCCTGTGAAAGTCTTGCAGGAATCAGTATTTTATTTCATAAACTTCAAGACAGTACAAGTAATTAGAAAATATTACTTTGCCATGCTAGTAAAGTTCTTATAGCACACATACTTCATCTCTATGACCTCTTACTGAGATTAAATAACAACTTAGGTACTAGATTTCTGATTGCTAGCTAGGGAGTAAAGAGACATATGTACACCTCAGAGGCCTTGCTTCAGAATTTTTTAAGGGCATGTTATGTTTCAATGCATTGTCACAGAGTACCTCACAAGTCTGCCATAAATACTTCTAGGATTGATGTCAAGAAGATATGACTTTGAAGTGTGCAAAGGACATTGTTGGCACATGCAACAGTGGTCATTATAGTACATTAACAACCCAAAATGGTCTTGTTGGTCAAGGGCTAAGCTTGTACAAAACATGTGCTCTCTTCCTTCCACTGTCAGTTGCAACTTTGCTCTGAAGCATAAAGGAATTCATATTGCTTCCTCTACATACAAGGCTGTAGACCACTGTCAGTCTGAGACTTTAAATATTCTCTGAACAAAATATTCAAATTGAATTCTGAAACTATTAAACTATTATTACCTTGCCATTTAACTAGAAACAATTTTAAGAAGCTGTAGATTTAACTTTGCTAAATAAAAGATATCCACAGTTGCCTTCTCGTGTTTTCCTTACTGGAGAATGGCACATATGCTACCCAAAACTGAACTTGGGTTTGCTGTGAGAAATAAAACAAAAGAAAATCCTAAATGTTTCATCGGGATTTTGCTCTGAAATGTCATATTCAAGGCAAGTCTCACACTTTGGTGTAAGGGGTGTTGAGTATAGGTACTTTACTACAGTGACTATTAACACTTTGCACTCAAAAGCACAGCTGAAGTGACAGAACAGTGACAGCTGCAACATTACCCAGCTAAAAACCCAAAACTCAAATCCAAAAGTTTTCAACCTGCTTTTTTTAATGATAATTTTGTCCTTTTATGATTTTAGAAAGAAGACAAAACTGAATCTAACAGGGGAGTTTTTATTTTAATTTAAAATTTTAAACATTACAATTTTGTTTCTTATTTATATCTAGGCCTGTAAATGGGCAGAACAATATCTACGGTGTTAAAAACTGAGGAGAATATTTCCATTTCATAGGTACTAAGAACAGATATATCTGCACCAAAGACAACAGAATTTATATTCAAATAGCAGAATAAACAACAATATATTTTATAATTAACAAGATTTTCATATATCCTACTTCAGCTTTCTTTTTCTTGAAATTTACATCAACACGAGTGAATTTAAGCATTTTTCTTCCAGAATGGTAGAGTTGCCAATGTAATCAATTAAAATCCTAATCACTCTCTTCTATTTATATCCAAAAGACTTGAATACTTTCGTTAAATCAATATTGCACACTGGCACTCAGATATTTCATATTCTGTAAGTGGAAAACAGGTAACACTGGAGCCAGAGGCACCACAGCTGCTCAGGCAAATAAGCCCTGATCTTACAAGACCTCTGGGAAAATGAATGCTGTCGTGTCCTACCTTAGACTGAACAAGTTCTAGACTGTCCATTCTGCTCACAGATATAAAGCAGATGTGTAGTTATTCATATTTAATTTAGAACCCTATTTTCTGCATTTACTGTCTAGTACTGAATGGTTCTGAAGCTGCTACAAAATCTAACGCTCTAAATCAATAAGTTATAAATTGAAAATATGGTAACTTATCTTTTAAATGGGTAGAGGAGAAAGGGAAATGATTTATACATCTCAAGGCTGAAGCTATGATAGCTGCAACAACATGTGTACATGTTTTCATCACCATATAATCACAGAAACACAGAATCACAGGTGTCAGTTGACTGAAAGCTGGCAATGTCCCAGTTTTCAAGAAGGGCAAGAGGGATGACCCTGATAACTACAGGCCTATCAGTCTCACTTCAGTGCCTGGCAAAATTAAGGAGAAGATTATTCTGTGAACTATTGAAAAACACCTGAAGGACAACACAGTCATCCATCACAGCTGGCACAGGTTCATGAGGTGAAAGTCCTGCTGGACAAACTTGATTTCCTTTCATGACAAGGTTCCCCATCTCAGTGATTTAATCATCTGTTATAGTAAAGCTTTTGATACTGTCTCTCACAATATCCTTCTGGACAAAATGTCCAGCACACGCCAGGATAAACACATCATGTGGTGGGTAAGGAACTGGCTCACAGGTCGGGCACAAAGGGTTACAAGTGAATGGGGTCACATCATAATCACAGTCATAGTGACTGATCACTAGTGGGGTTCTGCAGGGCTCCTTTTTAAGCCTAGTGCTCTTTGACATCTTCATAAACTACTTGGACCCAGTACTGGAAAGAATACTAATTAAGCTTGTCAATTATAGTAACTTGCGAGGAAAGAAATTGAGCATGCTTTGCTTAGACAAGACAAAGATGAAATATAATAATCTTGAAAGAAGTGGTAGATCTGCAACAGAACAAGGCACTTTCTATCATTCACTGTAGCTTAAGTGTAATAGGCTTAAAATGACTAAAAACAAGATGTAGATTTCATACCAGGAAAAAAATTAAAAATCAATCTGCTAGAAAGGATAGTTAAACTTTGATTTCACAACCTACCAGAACTTTCAGAAACACCACAATAATGTTGATATATATTTTTCTACTTTGATTCAGTAGAAATCTCCATAAAACTATGTTTTCTGTGTTTAAAAAGATGAGGGGCCTTTGGACTCTATCAGAGTTAACTGTATTTGATCTGAATAGAAATCCACATAGTCACAAATCTCTTTTTGGACAGTGGCTAAGGTGGGTTCAAGGAGTAAGATCAGTACAAATATATTGCACTGTCCCTGTGGAATCACCCAAGTTATAAAACATTTGTGGCATACAGACCTTTGAATAAAGTGATCTCTTGTAGAAGTCTGTGCAAGTTTAAACCCCCTAAAACTAGGATTTTCATAAAGATTCCTCATAAATACCATTTATCTTACTTATAAGCTTTCTTTCCAGATTTTTTTTAAGAAAAAGTTGTGGAAGGAGTAAAGAGTTGTTTGTTAGAATGAGTAATTCTCTGTACAGTAATTCTCTGTATCCAGTCAGATAGCTGTCAGATATCCAGTCAGATATCCAGTCAGATATCCAGTCAGATAGCTGTCAGAACTGACACTGACTTTTCTTTAAAACATGAATAATAAAAAGCTTGGGTGAAAATGTTGCACTATTTCATCCTCCGTCTTTACGGGTCAAGTTTTCTGAAGCTGTTATGAATGAATCTTTGTTTCTACTAAACAGAGTGAAGCTTAGGGAAATCAATAAACAAAGTGCTCGTTACCTAATTTGATATAAATAAATATCAAAAGGATCTCTGGCTAACTTTTGGGTTATGCCCTATGTCCAATCTGAATTTCGCCTTCATTCCCTTCCCTAATGAACTATCATTGGTCACCAGAGAGAGGAAATCAGCACCTCCCACTCTGCTGCCACTCTTGCTTGCTGTCTTCTCTTCTCCAAGCTGAACAAACCAAGTCACCTCAGCTACTTCTTGTAAGTCTTGCCTGTGAGACCTTTCATCTTTCTCTGGACATACTGCTCAAAACACAGCAGAGCGGGACAATCTCCTCCCTTGACCAGTTGGCAATACTGTGCTGGATGCCCCCCAGGACACGGTTGGCCCTCCTGGCTGCCAGGGCACTGCTCACTCAGATTCAACTTGCCATTAACCCAAATGCCCAGATGTCTTTCTGCAGCGTTGCTCTCCAGCCTCTTGTCCCCTAGTTTGTATGTATTATTAGCACATCCCAGGTGGAGAATGCAACACTTGATCCTTGTTAAACTACATGTGTCTGGTGATCATCCTGCCCTGTAGTCTTTTCGGATCTCTCTGCAAGATCTCTCTAACCTTAAAGGAGTCCACAGCTCCTAACAGTTTAGTATTGCCAGTGAATTTACTTAATGTACATCTAATTCCTGTGTCCAGATCATTCACAAAACATTACACATATTGCATTTTGTGCAAAGCATACTGTCATGAGCATCCAAAGGGCTTATGCCAAAAACATAAACCTTTTGGTTTATATTCTTCCAATTGAGGAAAGCAGGGAATCACTTTCAAGAGATTTCAGGATTAAAGAACCTCCTCTGTATCTCTTAATAAAATCTTGAACTTATCCATTCACCCTGATAATATCTTTAAAAAATCTTTAAGAAATCTCCTTGTTTTATCATGTCTTACAATAAGAATGTTTCAAGATGTAATTTAAAGAGTGCAAGTCACTGAGTGATGAGCAACTGTGCACAGAGAAAAACCACATAAAAAAAAAAATCACACAAAAATCTCACCACAGAACCAGGTCAATTTTGCAGGGGTTTAACAGTTTAAAATTTGGAACACCTTCAGCAATAGTACGATGAAACAAAACATCTACAGTAAACAGCAGTCTTTCCTAAAACTATGAAGCACTGCAGTCACACTGTGTCTTTTGAGACCCAAGTCTTTCAAATGGCTTATATATTAAGAGTCCAGTTTAGAGTTACATAATATTTAGTATTTTACCAAAGGCTTATCTCTGCTTCACCACAGGGTGATCTCACAAAAAAAAAACCTGACTCAACAGTTGTAATCAGCAGTCTTAACAGCAAGATGTTGCAATACTATGTTTTACATTATTATATTAATGTGTTTTAAAATGTATAGTGTTGAAGTATCACACTAAATGCTAGAAACACTGTAAACTTTTCTTTATTTGTTCACTGAAGTTCACACAAAACATATTAATTCAGTTTAAAAAAAGTCTCAACACAGAAGGCAGTAGTTTGTTTTTTTATTTGTAAACAGTAAAGCACCTCCCCAATTAAGTTCTAACAATTCTGAGGAGTCCACAGTGGCTATATTTACTTACAATTTAAAATCAGAAAAAAAATAAAATTAACATTCCAGATTACTGTAGGAAAAAAGTGTATACCACACTTAATGGCATACAAGATTTGTAACAAGCAAAAAAACCCCTGTTTTACAAGTAATCTCCCTTCCAAATAGGTTCTTATTTTAGTGCAGTTAGCACTCTCTCCCCATAGGCTATACATTTAGAATCCTCTATATACAAAAAGGTACAACAAATTGGTACATTACTTATTGCAAGAAATTAAGGATGCCATAATATACACAAATTAAATTAGCCCCCCCCACTTGCATACCCTCTTGCTTCTTATTTCTCCCATGAAGCAGTCTCCTTCTCTGGTTCTAAGATTAAGTTCTTTCACTGAAAGGCACGTACTTCTCTACAACAGAAGAAACAGATGCATTAATCTGAAATGCCCTGTTTCAAGGGGAAATTTAGCCTACATTTTTGAAGATTAAACATTATGAAAGAGCCAAGAGAGACAAGACGTTTTATTATTAAATTTGCCTGCAAAAGCTCTTAGTTACCATAGGACTGTGAAGCAAAGTGCCACAAAACTGCATTCATTTAAACCTTCCAAATAGAGAGACAGCTCATTGATGAAAATAAAAAGGGATTTACCATGGTGAACATATTTTTGAACTTCCAAGGCTCCCGAGTTCCTACTGAAACTTTGGTAAGTCTAACAAAAACAGAGTAAGCTCTTTTCCTTGCGCCTTGCAGCGTGAAGCAAGTAGTTTCTGTGTGAAGTCATTTAATGAGGATTGTAAACAACTAGTGTGATATAACTTTGAAAAACAAAGACGTGATATGAGTATACCGTACCTCAGTTAACATGTATGTAAAGCTGTATTGTGAGAAACCAAGGTTTAGAATTTCCAACTTGGACATTTAATAGTATGCTATTGAACAAAATGACTAAAAAATCCTGCTCAGGTAAACTGCCCCAAACTGCAGCAGCAGAGAGATTAGGGGCATGGTGATGGTAACAGTGGGAGTACCCTTAAACTGCACCTGTGTTACAACAGGGGGCACTGGGGACTTTTTTTTTCATACATCTCTGAAAGAAAATACTGGATAAAACTGTATCTGGACACCAGTACACTACTACCGTGATTTTAGGACAGAAGCCAGTTTCTCTGCCTAGTCTTGGAAAGGTCATATAAACTTATCAGCTAGCCCAGAACTAGCCTATAGGAATTTCTAACATATGCATACTGTGCTGTAGACCATCACCTTAAAAAAAGCCTGATTGTTTCAATCAAGAAAAATGAAAGCAGAGTGGATACCACAAACAGGTCACAAAGAAATAAAAAAAAAGACATCTATAATTTGATGTCAATAACAAATTTATATGAACATGTAGATTAGAATTTCCTGCAACTACGTTCAGTTTTTTAGTGCCTTCTATTATGAGTTATGAGGAAAAGAAACTTATGCACTGAATAAGCAAATTGTTGATGATAAGTTAGGCAAAAGTGCAACTGTTCTTTACTCAACAAAGCACTAAATCCAAAAACCACTAAGGGCCTCTCTTTGTTGTTCTCTAATCAGTTGCTCCAAGCCTGACTATATATTTATGCTACCTTAAAAAACCCCATCCAATCCTTTCTCTGAATTACTGCAAGCGTCAGGACAAAGTGTAACAACATCTCCTGAGAATATCTGAGTATCATTTTCATCAAGTTGTCCTCAGCGACTCTTTGATAATTTACATATTTTGTACTGCCTTTGGTCATTCTCACTTAAGCAGTGACACGAAGACTGATTACTAAGCTTCAATGCAGATGCAAAAGACTTAGTTGAAACAAGGGGAAATGAATTAACTTTAAAAAGTACCTTCAATTAAGGTTAAAAAAAAAAAATTCAAGTACTCTCTCTTTCAAACTTTCCTCCCAGCAACGCCCTTGCCTTGCAAAATTTTCACAGCACTTTATCAAGCTGTTCTACAGAGATTTGTGGCGTGAATTCACATTGTTAAGCACTGCTTTCCTGCTGCACATGAACAGTTTCAAAATAAAAAGTAACTCTTATGATTTTAAGAGCTTCTCCCCATAAAGGAGAACACCACAAGATCTCAATATACAGAAACAGAGTATATTCACAGTCTTGACTAAACATAACTGAAGCCCAACTTTTTTCTCAAGTTCCCAGTATCAAAATAAGGACTTTGATAATTTAAGCACATACTTTCTCAGCGATATTGAAACAACAGTTTAGATACTTCTACAATTAAATACTCAAATGAATTTTTTCTCTCCCTCAGACTGAAGTGTTTAGAAAAGTACAAGGAAAAAAAAGAAAAATCAGAAATCTGCTCTGAAAATTGTAATTGTACAATACTATTTGTTAATGATGACACTATTATTATGACGGTACTTCCTACTAAAGAATATACTTGATACTCCTGCAAATAAACATTTATAAAGCATATCATGTTAACTGGCCATCAAATACCTCAAAGTCTAGTCAGTATGCTGAATTACAACAGAAGAGATTTAAGGAAGACATTGAGGGAATTCCTGGATACAGTGTGACAATTATACTGGAGAAAGACTAGTAACATGGGATAACTATAAGAGCCACATGATTCTGTAATACAGAGGAAAGCTAAGTGTAGATATTCCAACTAGTTTATTCTAGTGTGCGGTGGAAAAACCCCAGAAAGACAGACTTTGACTTATGAAAAAAAATTAATCAGAAAGATTCCCCCTAAGGAGACAAAGTTAAAAGAGACTGAACCTTTCACTTCAGTTTCCAGAACTGCACCCAATGTTATTTCCTGACAAACAGCAGAACACCTTACTATACCAATACTTCTAATTCATTTGAGATACCATGTATTGCATCTGTTGAATTGTTCTGCTTGAGACTTATTCAGTCTAACATTAAACAGCGTGATTCAACTATTTGCTGTGACTGGCAGAATTCATCATTTATATCTTCTGGTACTTGACAGTAGTCCTCACTATGAAAATACTATCAACTTTTTTTACTCTATCTTCATATGTGCAGTGTGGTGGCAATTACTCAAAAAGGAAAACTTTTAAGTCTGAATTGTGTAAATTTATGTTTGAATTGATCATAATCTTTAAGTGTAAGGACAATATGGAAATAAAACCAAACTTGAAGACAATAAGGAAATATAACAAAATTTTCCTCTAACTATGTAGTTGCAAAGAGTGACCTAAGAATATGAGCCTTT